GATCACAGCAAAATAGAATTAGATTATCTTAGTAATAGAAAGAGATTTGGGGCTTGTTCGCTCTGAGGTTTTACCCAGTAGGAAAGTCTTTTCGATAGTGTTCTTGAAAGCGCTCTCTGGTTCTAGTTCATTCACTTTTCTGCCTGAAATTTCCACTCCTGAGAACTAGTACTGAATCATTTCACAAAGATTTTATTAAGTGCATATTTCCTAAGTTCCATGATAACTACTTTGTTAAATCTAAGACATCATAAGTTACTAGGGGCCCAGTGCACGAATTCATGCACCTGAAAGGAACTGTGGACCATGAGGCTGCGGTAGGCACAGGGGCGGGTCTCAGCCCATCCTTCGCGCCCCCGCCCGGCTCCTCCTGCCGTGGCCCCCGGTCACTTGTCTGCCCACAGCCCCACTGCCACTGCCACCACTCCCACACGCTGATGGCACTGGCCCTGGTCATACCTGCTGAAGGCACTAAGCAATTGGGGCCGGCGCCAGCAGCAGGTGTGAATAGCAGCTGCTGCCCTGATCACCCCTCAGGAGCAGGGGGAGGTGGAAAAGCCCTCAGGGGCAATTGGGGCTGGCAGTTGCTGCTTGCACCCGCTGATGATGTCGAGCGATCGGGACCGGCGCTGGGCACCAGCAGTAGGTGCGAGCAGCGGCTCCAGCTGCGGGTGCGAGCGGGGCCGGCGCTGGCAGTGGTGTGAGCGGTGGCTCCAGCACCGGCAGCGGATAGAAGCAGGGCCATTGCCAGCAGCAGGTGGGAGAGGCAGCTGCCAATCCCAATCTCCCCTCAGGAGCAGGGGGAGGTGGAGAAGCCCTGAGGGGCAATTGGTGCGGCAGCTGCCACTCCCGCTGATGGCACCCAGTGATCGAGGCCAGTGCTGGGCGCCGGCGGTGGTTGTGAGCGGCAGCTCTAGTGCCAGTCGTGGGTACAAGCACCAGGCGAGACCACGGAGCACGGGACTAAAGAATTTTCAATAACCACCAGAGGCTCGCCCTCTGCCTTGGTCTGGCGCCCCCACTCACCTGCTCCACCATCCCGCCTCAGCTGATGCCCACATGTTCTGCGCACGCCCCCTGGTGGTCAGTGCGTGTCATAGGGACCAGTTGTTTCGCCATTTGGTCTATTTGCATATTAGCCTTTTATTATATAGGATAAGATGCATCATTTCTTCATGTTCTATGTGAAAAAATGTTACTTTTTTTTTTTTTTTACTATGACACATCATTGACTTGAATACGCATCTTGATTATAGAGATGTTAACATGTCTTTTTAAAGCATGATTTATGGAACATTTCTAGAGTTGTATTTCTGCATTTTTACAATTTAGGAATATCACTGAGAAAATATCCTTTATCTTTCGTTTTTCAGATCTATCATTCTACCTTTAATATTTTCCCTCCCTAATTTAAGCATTCTTTAAGTAGTTCCTTTTCTTAATTTCCCAGTTATTTTGCCATTCTGGTCATTTTCCTTTGGATGCCTTGTAGTTTATCAAAAAACTGCTTAAAATTTAATATAATACAGATTTCAAAAAGAAAATTGCAAAATCTTAAAATTAGTATATCCAGAAAGTAGAACACTATGTAAGTTCGTGAACGAGGTTTTTAACTTGACAAGATTTTCAATAATTTTTTTAAATAGTCCATACCCATGAATAAATTATTGTCATGATTTTTACAAGTAGGTTAACATTTATACCTCATATTTATTTTTAATCCTCACCCGAGGATATGTTTGTTGATTTTAGAGAGTGGAAAAGGGGGAGGGGGAGACAGAGGGGGGAACATCAATGTGAAAGAGAAACATCACTTGATTGCCCCCCGTAGGCGCCCCTACAGGGATCAAACCCACAGCCTAGTTATGTGTCCCAACCTGGAATTGAACTGCAGCCTTTTTTGGTGCCCTGGACGATGTTCCAACCAACTGAGCCACCTGGCCGGGGCCATCATACTTTTCATAGCAAGAATTTCTCTCCACTGGCACTCATTTACTCATTTTGGTAATTGAGGTTCAAGATGCTACTTTTTTAAGCTAACATATGTTGTTAACAAATATAAACAGAATTATACATCTTTTCTAGTTATTCTTCTCCTCTCTACAAAATGATTACAAAAGAAATCTGCCCGTAATAATTTAACCTGGGAATATTTCTAAATGACAAAAATGTTTACCTGTTTTAGTAGTGAACATTTACATTTGAATATTTCTTTATAATAATGTAATTTCTGATAGTTATTATATGACTGTTTATTATGTTATGTATTTCCTAGTTCAAATTAATTCAACTAAAGGAAAAATGACACCTTATAGTATGTTAAGTTTATAATTTGCTGATTCCTATAGAGTTTATGGTTTTTTGTTATTGTAAAATTAAGCTTTCTTTCATAGTTAATATTCTTTTCTTTCTTTAATAACACAGGTTTTGAGAGTATTTTAGAAGGGCTTTATGGACCACGGCTACGAAGAGACCTCAGTTTATTTGAAGGTAACGTTTTATTTCAAAATTTTAACCTTCTGTCCCATTTAACAAATGAGAAATGGTTGTTCTACACTAACTTTATACTAAACATGAATTTGTGTTATTGTTTAATTAAAAATATTTTAAATGAATACATAAAAGTGATTCCTATTATTACATGATGTTATAATCTTTAAAAAATTTAGTATACTGATCAAAATTGTAAATGAAGTTTGTTTTGGCTCAGTGGTAAAATTTGATTTTTGTCATTTTATCCATTACATTCCCTGACTTCTTCTTAAAGAGGACTTAAAAGGGTTCAGGTGCCTGTTGCTTATGATACAGGCATTCTAGAACTCAGATTGTCACTCTGAGAAATCCTGCCATATGTGTTCAGAGTTTTCTATTTATGTGTAGCCTCCTCTATTTATTATAACCCACCCTTCCAAATGTTGTTGCATAAATCCTGGTATAAGATTTTGATCTGTATTATAATTGCTGTGGTAGCATAGTTTAGCTGTTTTACTGCTTGCTTGGAAACCTAGAGCACTAGGAGAGAACATTTTTGTAGGCATGTGAAAGTTTATAGTACAGTTCATTTACAAAATGGGTAATGCTAGAATAGATTTTCTAGTTTGATTTTGATTGGATTATTTCTGTATCTTGTCACTTTTCAATGCTAACTCTTTTACCTTCTGCCCTACTCTGGTACCTTCCTTTCTATTAAGACCAAAGTCCTATCTAGTAGACTTAAAGGCCCTTCTCTCTGTGTATGTAAGTCTTTTGAGTTGAGGTAGTTACAGTGATAGTTGGTGTAGTCAGAAGTTTTCTGCTCATTCTTTGATAATGTTGAGGAGGATGATTGAGCTATGAATCATAGAGCTGACAGTGTTTATGCAAGATCATTTGTCCCAACCACCCATCTTCAATCAGATGAATGATATCCATGCAGAACATGACGATAAGGATCAAGATTCCAAAATATTCCCATTCCAATATTTTATCATTCTTATGGCTAAGATCTTTATCTTCTCTTTTAAACTTTCAACATCTCTCACTGTGTCATAGCTTAACACTGAATTAAATATTTTTACCTGTTATAAGCAAAACTGACTATAGTTTCGCCTTTTTTTCTGAGCTTATAAATAAAGGAAAAATCTAAGAAATAAGAGTTTAACCTATGCTTGGTATTTCTTCAGCCTGCTGTTTTTCATTCATGTCAGAAGGCAGCATTATACTTAATTGCTTTCTGATAACCCAAAGTCCAGCTTGTGATTTTTAGCCTCTTGCTTTCATTTATTTACATATATCGTTCTGAATATATGTATGAATTTATGTTCCTTCAGAAATTAGTTATTATACAAAGGGCAGAATGTTCTAAGGAAATAAATACATGTATTTTATTTCTTGATGGTTATTTCTTTTGTGTACAAATAACACATGTTCATTTTAGGAAATTAGAAAATATAAATGAGCCCAAAAGTGAAAAATTAGTCCATGACCCACAGATAACCTTTAACATTTTTATAATTAAGTTTAAAATATGTTTGTATGTATTTATTGTTTTATTAAAGTAGTATATACTGTCCATATAGTATATAGCTTTTGTACCTACTATGTTTGTTCACTAGTATATCATTTGGGTATATAAAGTTCTTGGTCATTATTCTAAATGGCTGCACAATATTACATTGTGGATCTATTATGACAAATTTAACTAATTAATTGATTTCATACCCTACTGCTGTATATCTTATTCCATTTATTTTTTAATTACAATAGATTTTGTACTTTATTTCCATTTCTGTGCCTTTTTTTTCCCCCCTTGGTAGGGTATTTATACAATTAGCTAAGCTTTGGAACTCAATCTTTTTCTCTTATATAGGCACATAATTTCATTGCCCTTTCTCATCCCTAATGTTCTAGCTTTTTCCAAATTTCATAGGAAAATTCTTTCTTGCTTTTTTTTTCATTAAAAAGACTTCTAACTAAAGTTCCATAAGTATGATTGCACTAATCCTATGTAATAAAAGCCTAATATGCAAATTGTCCCCTCGGGCAGTCGTTCAATGGGGAGTTCGACCACTCAATATGACATATGCTGACCACCAGGGGGCGGTGCAGAACATGGCAGGCTTTGGCGACAAGGTGCTGGCAGCAGGCGTTCAGGTGCAGGGCGCCTGTGAGGATCCAGCCCCACACCTGCACAGCCTCCTGTGGGTGAGCTGGGCCGCAGCTGCTGGGACTGCAGGGGCCCATCGGGCTCCCCATGGGTTTGTGCAGGAGCCGGTCTGCAAAGCTGGCCAGGAGAGAGTGCGCTGCCCGCCTGGCTTTTGTATAGCGCTGCTGGGCGGCCCCAAGGCCCACACTGCGCCCCGGCCCACGGCCTCTGGCCACGCTCACCTCATCTCCGCATGGGAACTTGGGCACCATGACTCAGGTGGAGGGGGGCGCACGGGGCTCAGGGGTTGCCCAGGGCCCAGAGGTCAGCTGTGACCTGCCCTTCCATGCCAGACACTTGCTCTTCGAATGCCAGCCAGGCCTGGGGACCACACCCGTGCATGAATTTCATTATTGTAATAAATCTGTATCTGTGTAAGGATGAAGACAGCTATGTTTTTAAGGAAAATTAAACCAGTATTATCAAAGTGTAGAGCCTTTTGAAAAGCCATGTAGAAGCCATCTATTACAGCTCCAACTTCTTATCCTCTTTTAAATAAGTGTGTTTTCTTTGTTGTTACCATTGTTAAAAATGGTTTCATTTTTAGATGCTAGAACTACAAGTATAGGTATTTCTCACTATACATATCTGTATGCAGGAATCATATAGATTAGTGTATGTTTCTAAATCACTGGATATCTGAACCCTTCTTACTTCGAAACTCAGGAACCAAGTAAACTGGATAGCAAAGGATTCTTGTATATTACTCTAAATTTTTTATAAAATTAAATGCATATTATTTAAATTTTATAATACATTTAGGTTAAATGAACCACATCATAAACCTGCTACTATTTTCTATTCAAAAAATATTCTAAATTTCATACTGCTACCTTAAAAATCAACCTTGGCAAACAGTGTGTTTTAATACTTTTGTATCATATACTGGTGTTTTGAGAGATTTATATATTAATTTGATTCAGATCCATCTTCAGATTAAATGGTTTTGAAAAAAGCTTTTGAATACTGCTAATTTTTAATTTGTTGGAAACAAAATAGCTTTCTCTGTTCTTTGATCTGTTGTCATGACTTTTTGTCCTTTTGAGGAAAACATAACAATTACTATTTTTTTTTTTTTTGGAGTAAAGTCTCCAAAGAAACTTCGAATGTCGTAAACTTCCCAATTTTATGTACTCCTAGAAAAGTTCTCTGTATTCTGCCTTCTTTCTCCTTCATCTCCTCAAAAGTCACTTTTCCTGCTGTCACAGGAATTTTAGTCAATTCTTTTTCATATCTTATTGATGGGCCAGCTTATTTCATCCATGGGGTCATCTGATTTAATTGCCTGACTATGGATATTTTACAAAAATATTAAGACTGCAGTAGGCCTATGTGTAAACTGGCTATTAAGATCCTTACTGTGTTTTTTTGTGTGTTTTTTTCTATGTGTCCACATTTCAAAGGGTGATTATATCAGCCATCTGCAAGTTATAGCATGTGGGCCAAATCAAGCTCTTTGACTGTTTTTGGAAGACCTGTGAGCTAAGAATGGGTTTTACATTTTTAAATAGTTGGAAAAAATCTAAAGATTAATATTTCACAAGGTGAAAATTATAAAATGTTCAAATTTAATTATCCAGTTAATAATATTTTATCTGTTGACTGCTTTTGTACTACAACAGTAGAGTTGAATGGTTGTGACTGCATGGCCTGCAAAACCTAAGATATTTTCTATCGTGGTTTATAGAAAAGGTTTGCTGACCCCTGGCTTATACTACTACTGAAATTTAATCTTTTGGCTTAATATTTTTTTCCAAGTGTTAACACTATGATGATGGAGACATCAAAACTAACTTTTAATAAAATTTATTGAGTGGACTATTTGAAATGCTTAATTTGAATTAGGAACTGTGATAAGCAATGAGGAAAGAAGAATAAATAGGATCTCTTTCTACTAGGAACTCATGGCCTAGTATTGTCAAAATTTGGTAGTTTGCCAATATGAATTGAGAATCTAATACTATTTTAAAGTTATTTATATAAATTATATTATTAGCTCCGATCAATGTGTACAGAAAGATGTCTCCCAATGTATTCATCATGGTGTTTATAATGCCAAGATTAGAGAAGCAAGCTTAATCAGCCAAAAATAGGATGTTGAGTTAAATAAGTTAAATGCATCTCTTTAATGAACTGTATTTATCTTTTAAAAATGATATAGAAGTATATTTGAGATGGAAAATATTTGTGATAAATAAGCATGTGTATAATATGATTCTAATTTTAAAATAAATAGTATTTTTGAGAGCAGTTTTAAATTTACAGAAAAATCTAGTAGAAAGTATGAGGAGTTCCCATAGACTCCCTCTTCCCTTTTGTCTTAGGTACCCCCATATTAACATCTTTCATTAGTGGTACATTTGTTATAATTGATGAACTAATATTGATGCATTAACTAAAGCCTCCATAATTTTTACTAGGTTACTCTGTGTGTGTTGTACATTTGTGTGGGTTTTGCCAAATATACAATGTCATGTATTCACCATTAGAACATTAGAATATTATACACAATAGTTTGCCCTAAAAATCACCTGTATTCGCCTTTTCAGTCCTCTCCCTTGTTCCTAAACCATGTCAAACATTGATCTTTTCACCGTCTCTATAGTTTTTTCTTTTCCAAAATGTCATATACTTGGAATCATGCAGTGTTTAGCCTTTTTATACTTCTTTCACTGAGCAATATGCATTTAAATTTCCTCTCTGTATTTTCATGGCTTCATAGCTCATTTCTTTTTATTGCTAAATAATACTGCCACAGTTTGCTTAATTCCTTTACCCTTTTGAAAGACATCTTGGTCACTTTCAA